TTAGAGGAAAGCTACAATGTCCTTACAGCTCTTGGGAGGGTAAGCTTCCATGTCTGCTTCCAATGCCAGTGAGTATCCCAGTGCTTCAGGCATTCCAAATGAGAGGGCATAGGTCTTGTACTAGGCCCAGAGTTGGGGCAGATCCTTGTCAGACTTCCTGAACTTGATGGGGCTGCAGACACACTTATACTTGCTAAGGTGCTGAGGCTGATCCCACCAGCTAGGGACAGATAGGTTCCAGATTCAGGGGCTCAGATAGGTGGATGTGTTTGAGCAGGGCTGCTACTGTTGGTGCCCCATACAGACGTATCTGACCAAGAGGCAAATGAGGCCTGAAATCCAGCCAAGAGTTGAGCTCCCAGCCCTTGCAATTATAAGGCTGCAACTGTCAGAAGGGGCACCTTTTCTAATTAGCACAGGGTAGACCTTGGGAAATCCTGGTTTAGGGTGTCTGAGGTAGGGCTGATCGTGGCTGCCTGAGGATGCTGGGCTGAGGAGTCCTTGCCTGGCTTCTTTGGGGATACTGGGGCCAAAGGCTGGCTCTCCTTGTACTGTCTGAAAGAGGTTGACCTGGGCCTGTGAGCCAGGCTGAGTTCTCCTCTCTCAGGGCTATGCGGGGATGCCTCTAGGATATGCCTGCTCTGCCTAGAGCACTTTAGACCACTCTTGGAAAAGACCTCTGTACTGTATAGTGGGGCCTCTGATCTTGGGATAGGAATTAGTAAAATCTATTTTCTGTGACAAGACTGGGAGGTAGGGAGGAAAACACTTAAATGACATTTAGGAGAATGTCATTTCTGTCTTAGAGAAGAGAGAAAAATTAAGGTTATGCTTGCAGTGAAGAGGAGCTTTAAGCAGAAGTGACAAGTCTTCATTCTAACTCAAGTTTTAGCACTTTTTTTAAGCCCTCCCTTCCCTCCCTCCTTCCTTCCTCTCCCCACCCACCCACTGCCTTTTTTAACTAGCTGAGTGAGACCTTGGGCAATTCACTAAATTCTGAGCCTACTTTTCTTCCTCGGTAAAGTGGGCACAACAACTCTCACCTCTTAGCTTATTGAGAGGATCTAGAATGCATTTGTGTAATGGGCTTGAGATGGAGATAAAGTGAGCTTGTTCCCCTCCCTGCCTTTTTCCCACTTGTGATGGTTAAAACGGACTCAACTTGATTGGATTGAAAGATGCAAAGTATTGATCCTGGGTGTGTCTGTGAGGGTGTTGCCAAAGGAGATTAACATTTGAGTCAGTGGGCTGGGAAAGGCAGACCCACCCTTAATCTGGGTAGGCACCATCAAATCAGCTGCCAGCGTAGCTAGACTATAAAGCAGGCAGAAAAATGGGAAAAGACTAGACTGGCCTAGCCTCCCAGCCTACATCTTTCTCCCTTGCTGAATGCTTCCTGCCCTCAAACATCAGACTCCAAGTTCTTCAGTTTTGGGACTCAGACTGGCTTTCCTTGCTCCCCAACTTGCAGATGGCCTACTATGGACCTTGTGATCATGTGACTTAATAAACTCCCCTTTGTATGTCTGTTCTATTAGTTCTGTCCCTCTAGAGAACCCTGACTAATACAGTAAATTGGTACCAGTAGAGTGAGGCATTGCTGAAAAGATACCCAAAAATGTGGAAACTACTTTGGAACTTGGTAACAGGCAGAGGTTGGAACAGTTTGGAGGGCTCAGAAGAAGAGAGGAAAATGTGGAAAAGTTTGAAACTCCCTAGAGACTTGTTGAATGGCTTTGACAAAAATGCTGATAATTATATGGACAATGAAACCCAGGCTAAGGTGGTCTCAGATGGAGATGAGGAACTTGTTGGTAACTAGAGCCAAGGTGACTCTTGTTAAGTTTTAACAAAGAGACTGGTGGTATTTTGCCCCTGCCCTAGAGATTTGCAGAACTTTGAACTTGAGAGAGATGATTTAAGGTATCTGGCAGAAGAAACTTCTAAGCAGTGAAGCATTCAAGAGGTGACTTGGCTGCTGTTAAAGGCATTCAATTTTATGAGGGAAGTGGAGCACAAAAGTTCAGAAAATTTGCAGCCTGACAATTCGATAAAAAAGAAAATCCCATTTTCTGAGGAGAAATTCAAGCTGGCTCTAGAAATTTGCATAAGTAAAGAGGAGCCTGATGTTGATCCCCAAGACAATGGGGAAAATGTCTCCAGGGCATGTCAGAGGTTTGCATGGCAGCCCCTCCCATCACGGCCTGGAGGCCTAAAGGGAAAAATGGTTTCATGGGCTGGGCCCGGGTCCCCGTGCTGTGTGCAGCCTAGGGACTTGGTGTCCTGCGTCCCAGCTGCTCCAGCTGTGACTGAAAGGGGCCAATGTAGAGCTCGGGCCATGGCTTTGGAGAGTGCAAACATCAAGCCTTGGCAGTTTCCACAGTGTTCAAAACATGGGAGCCGCCCTCATTATTATTTTTTCCTACAGTAATCATATTAGCCCATAATGTGTGCACAATGCGTATATGATGGTTCCTGCCCCACGTGGTGTTGAGCCTGCCAGTGCACAGAAGTCAAGAAGTGGAATTTGGGACTATCTGCCCAGATTTCAGAGGATGTACGAAAACACCTGGATGTCCAGGCAGAAGTTTGCTGCAAGGGCAGGGCTCTCATGGAGAACCTCTGCTAGGACAATGCAGAAGGGAAATGTGGGGTTGGAGCCCCCACACAGAATCCCTACTGGGGCACTGCCTAGTGGAGCCATGAGAAGAGGGCCACTGTCCTCCAGACCCCAGAATTGTAAATCCACTGACAGCTTGCACTGTACATCTGGAAAAGCTGCAGACACTCAATGTCAGCTTGTGAAAGCAGCCAGGAGGGAGGCTGTACCCTGTAAAGCCACAGGGGCAGAACTGCCCAAGAACATAGGAACCCACCTCTTGCATCAGCATGACCTGTATGTGAGACAGGGAGTCAAAGGAGATTATTTTGGAGCATTAAGATTTGACTTCCTGCTGGATTTTGGACTTGCATGGGCCCTGTAACCCCTTTGTTTTGGCCAGTTTCTCCCATTTGGAATGGCTGTACTCCCACTGTATCTAGGAATTAACTAACCTGCTTTTGATTTTACAGGCTTATAGGTGGAAAGGACTTGCCTTGTCTCGAATGAGACTTTAGACTGTGGACTTTTGAGTTAATGCTGGAATGAGTTAAGACTTTGGGGGACTGTTGGGAAGGTACGATTGGTTTTGAAACGTGAAGACCTGAGGTTTGGGAGGGGCCAGGAGCAGAATGATATGGTTTGGCTGTGCCCCCACCCAAATCTCATCTTAAATCCCTACATATTGTGGGAGGGACCCAGTGGGAGGTAATTGAATCACAGGGGCAGGTCTTTCCCATGCTGTTCTCGTGATAGTGAATGTCTCATGAGGTCTGATGGCTTTATAAGGCAGAGTTCCCCTTCACAAGCCCTCTCTTTGCTTGCTGCTATCCATGTAAGATGTGACTTGCTCCTCCTTGCCTTCCACCATTATTGTGAGGCTTCCCTAGCCATGTGGTACTGTAAGTCGATTAAACCTCTTTCTTTTGTAAATCGCCCAGTCTTGGGTATGTCTTCATCAGTAGCATGAAAACAGACTAATACACCACTCTCATGTCTGGGCAGGGCCAGTGGGCCCGGGAGGCAGAGTCTGTCAGTGGGATTGGGGCCATAAGGGGTCTCTCCTGTGTCTGAGGGAACCACAGTGACCCACTTAGGGGGACTGGAGGCAGTGAAGGCTATGGGCCTGCCATATCTAGTCAAGACTGCTCAAGCAGGTCCTCACTGCTCCTTCAGCTCCCTGCCACCCTCCAATCCATTCTCCCACGTAATGGCTCCTTCACCAGGAGGATGAAGCCTTTATCTTGGTGTTCAGGGCCTGATCTCTCTACCTCATCTCCCACAACAGTCCTCCATACACAGCCCAATGTTCCTGAACAGGTCACAGTATTTATGCCTCTGTGTACACCTTGCTTTGTCTGAAATGCTCTTTCTCCTTTGATAGAATTCCTCCTTTTCCTCTCAGGATCTAGCTTAAATATGCCATTCACTGGGGAGCCTGCCCTGACCACAGATCAGGTAGGCCCACTTCTGGCCTTCCACTGTGCCCCCTCTAACGTTGTACTGCCCATTCTGTGTGGAATGTTCTGTTGCTATATATGGCTCCTTTTCTAGACTGTGAGCTCCTCAAGGACACGGACCACATCTGATCCTTTCTATGTTCCCAGTGCCCAGCCTAGGGCCTGGCACAGAGTATGGGCCTCACAGAGTTTGTTAAATGAGTGTGTATATAAGTGAAAATGATAGGGTGGGCAGTTGTGGGTAAGTGGCGAGTGGCAAGTAGCTTTGTCCCCAAGCCTGAGAGGGTCACCTGAACTGGGTACAGAGTTGAGAACTCATCATTTTGGTCTCTTTTACCAAACGAGATTAGGTCTGAATTTGTTTTCAGAAATTAGGACATGTTATCTGTAAGACTGCCTGGGGCTAGCAAGACAAAAGTCTAAAATCTGAGGTATCTGTAAGGAGTAGTCAGAGGAGACCATGGGCCCTGCACAGCTCTGTCCAAGGCTTGGGAACAACTTCAGGTGGATAGGTATGGATAATAATATTGTAGTCAGTCCTTCCCATGTGGGAGTGAGGCTCCCAGCAAACAGTCCCGCAAGTCCCAGAACAGTCCCTCTAGTGAGTCAGAGATCTGGGTAACATGGAAGTCCTCAGATTGTCTGCTCCTCCACCCTTCTGGGATCACACTTTCCCTCAGTTTCTTAAGATGTTGCAAGTCACTGTCTGGGTGCAGTGGCTCACGCCTGTAATCCCAGCACTTTGGGAGGCTGAGGTGGGTGGATCACAAGGTCGGGAGTTAAAGACCAGCCTGGCTAAGATGGTGAAACCCCCTCTCTACTAAAAATACAAAAAATTATCCAGGCGTGGTGGTGGGTACCTGTAATCCCAGCTACTTGGGAGGCTGAGGCAGTAGAATTGCTTGAACTCGGAGGGCGGAGGTTGCAGTGAACTGAGATCTCGCCACTGCACTCCAGCCTGGGTGACACGGTGAGACTCTGTCTCAAGAAAAAAAAAAAAGAAAAAGATTTTGCAAGTCATCATCCTATATTCTGTGCAAAGCGTAGTCTTTCCCAAGATCCTGAGAATTCCTGGGAGCTTATATTCTGATCACCTCTCACTCTTAATTCCTGCTGCTATTGCATTCTTGTGACTGTGACTGAGTTGTTTTGCTCCAGACTCTGATGCTGCCCTTGCTGCCTCATTCCCCAAAGCACCAGGCGCAAGCATGTGCATGTAACAGACTTTCCTTCAAGAGTTGAGGGTAAAAAAGTGAGTTATAGCACAATACAGAGCCGAAAAGCAGGGCAGGAATCATTACCTGCTTTGTACAAAGAGAAAACAAAAGCTTAGATATTAACCAGGTGACTTGACTAAAGCTATACAGCAAGTTGGTGAAAGAACTAGGCCTGGAATGAGCTCTCCTGATCCAGACTCTAGAATCAGCATTTCACAGTTCTGAACTTCTGGAATCCAAAGAGCTGTCCAGGTTTAGGTTAAGAACAGTTCCATACACACAGAAAGACGGTCCTGGGTGGCGGGCAGTGAAAGAAACCTGGGGAGCTGGGGATCTCCATGAGCGTGGCTCACCTCCCCCTCTGTCTCCTGGAGCTGACCCTTGCTCATATCCCGTGGGAACAAGACCCAGGTGAATCAAACCTTTACTGAGGCCCTGCTCAAGACAGGCACAGTAGTGCAGTGGGTTTAATCTTCACTATGGTTCTGCAAGGCTGGCATCATTATTCCCCATTTTAGTTGAGAAAACAGTTTCCAAGAGTGGAAGTGACTTGCTCAAGGTCATACAGATAGTCAGGCCAGGCGAGCCTGAGGACTCCTAGTCCCAGGCTCTGCTACAAGCTCCATGGCATTGCCAAAATTGACCACCAGGTGGCAATCTCCCCCAACTTCCTGCAGGCTCAGGCACCCTGGAATTTTAAGCAGTAATGCCTGTGGTTGGTGGCAGAACAGCAGACTGCCTGGAAACTCTTTTGTCAGTTTTGAAACTCTTTTGTCCCCAGGGGGAAATTGATGCCCGAGAGGGATGGTGGCTTTACAAGTGAAGAAGTTCTATGTGTGTGTGCATGTGAGCATGGGATCTGCTTCTGGTTCCAAGGCTGATGGACTCTGCCGACCTGTTGTTAGCTGGGAGTTGGTGGGCATGACTTTCCTGGCACAATGTTCAGTTTCTCCTCTGTGCCTGCTGTTGCCAAGCCCCACTCAGAGATGGGCAGCTGAGTTTTCCTTGGACTCCATCAGAGGCCCACGGTTCAGCCTCTTGTTTAGGTGGGGTCAGGCTTACCTGGTCTGAGGCCATCTGAACAGCCCTGTGAATCCTTCCCCTATTTTAATCTGTGTGCTTCTTTGCATGGAGCCATGGAAACTCCTGTCATCTTCCATGCCTGCCTACAGCCAGGAAACACTGGGAGAGAGTCCTGTGCATTCTTCCTGCAGAACTCACCATGTTCCCTTAAGGCTTTGCTGGACGGACCAGACCGTCTCAGCAGGTTTCCTGCCACTGGATACTCATTTACCTCTGTGCTGCTCAGTGGCAGCCCCATGGTGGGCCTGTGAGTTCTCGGTGCAGCAAGCTTTCTGCCCAGATGCCAGGTGAGGCTCCCTTTCTGGCAGGCACGCCCAGCTTCTGTGCAGGGCTTGGGCACACTCTCCATTCCCCATCATGGCAGTGACTCTCAGCACAAACACCACACTGTTTACAAGGCCACCCCGACTTCTCCCCTCTTCCCTCCTATGTCCTCTCTTTGAGTGTGTGTGCACGTGTACGCTCCTTCATATCTCTCTTTACAGAGTGTGGTCTTAGAGCCTCTTGTCCTCAGCTTTGGGCCTTCACTGCAATTCCACAAATCCAGAACTCAAGGAAAGTCCTGCTCTACATCCTGTCAAGTAAAGGTAATGACAGCTCTCTTGCCAGATTCAGAGAAGAGTTCCTGGGAGTTCCCTGAACACAGGGCTGCCGTTTGAGCTGTGTGTTCTCAGCACCCAGCACAGGGCCTGCATGGGACAGGCCCCAGGGGGAGGGAGGTGGTTCTCACATGAATGAAGAGCCATGTACTAGAGCAAGTTAGCCTCTCAGAACAGAATGAGTCCCCTCCTTCTGTAGGGTGCCACATACCCCTCTGCGGAAACTGAGGGAAGGTGGAGAACAGAGCAAATATTGATGAAGGCAAGCAGCACACAGCCATTATGTCAAGTTTCTCTCATTCATATGCCTCCTCCATGATTTTTGCTAAATCCATGGATTCTTAATAATTTTCTTTAGCATATTTTATGAAAATGCCTAATTCATGGTCTCCTAAGGAATAATATTCATGAAATCATTGGTTTTATATATCTTTCCTAATATACATTGAATTATATACATAGCTATTAAAAAAATAGCAAAGACCACTGAAGTAGGCCGTACCTGCCGCCAGTGAGATGTATACTGCACTTGGATTATTTACTTTTCACAAAACCCTAATAAGGTCAATCATGCTATTCCTGTCTTATAGGTGAAGAAATTGAAGGTCAGAGAATTGACTTGGCCGAGGTCACACAGTCTTCTGATCTTTGGTCTACAGCCCAAGAGGGGAAGGGAGGAGCAGGTGCTTGGGAGATGATAGGGGAGGGAGGCAGCTGCCACTGAAAAATGAAAGAAGATGGGGAAGATAGGAGGTGGGGGCAGGATTCCATGTCAGAAAGGCAAATGACCTGAGTCCCAATGTCCTATGCACTGTAATGGCCATGAAAATAGCTGCAGATTTGCCTGCATTTGTGTGACCAAGATTTATTGTGCCCGCAACTCTGGTAATTGGATGATGAAAGCACTGCAGCTAGGACTGTTGGCTGGAGATTAATTATTAGAGAAAGGAGGTAGGATGGGGAGTAGCCTGGATGGTGCCCAGCTGTAGAGAGACTGGAACCCACTAGAAGAGCAGGCAGGCAGACCTCAGACATCTAGTGGACCCCCTCCCCACTCAGCTAAGATCCAGGGAGGGAGGCAACTGGACTGGGCCAAGGCCACAACCATTCTATAGCAAGGCAGGCTGAGAGCTCTTCTCTGAGTGAAGCTGATTTTCCAGAAAAGACGGGCAGCTACAGCAGCAGGAAGGGCCTGCACTTGGAGTCTGAGACCAGAGGGGAAGCCTCAGCTTTGTCTCTTACTGGCTATGTGACCTTAGGAAGGTGACTTAGCCTCTTCAAACCTCAGTTTTCCCAGCTGTACAATGGAGATGATGGCGTTGACTTTCCTAGGAAGTCATGAGGCTCCAAGGAGATTATTGGGTCCTATTTAGATCTAGGATCCACTCAGAGACAACTTTCATTCTTACCCCCTCTGCTCAGGTCTGGCCCTTGTCCTTCCTGCCTGGGTCCTGTGAATCCCTTCCCTGCTTTCTCATCAAGCCCTAAAACCTGATCCTTAGCCACTGTGGGGACTTCCTGCGTGAATGTCAAGTCCCAAGTAGGAACCTAAAAGGGACTGGGAGATGGGGGACAGGGGTGGATCCCAAGAAGAAGTCATTTTCCCTCTCAGCCTTAGTTTTCTCATCTGCAAAATGGGAATAGGCTTTATTTGGATTTATTCCATTGCAAAGAACAGCAAACCACTTGAGCCCAACCAAGTGGGTTGGGGAAGGAGCCAACTTTGGGGACCGGAACTGGAACCTGCACATTGGAAGGAATACAGGTCACTTGGGGGCTAGCTTCTCCTCCATTTCTTTGTCAATGGGTCTCTGTTGCTATCTGCTCACCTTCCACTACTCATAGGTGTATTCTTTTCCTCTCTCCTGTCTGTCTCACAGCTTCTGCTTCCTCAAAATCTCTGTTCTAGCACAACTTTTTCTTACATGTGACTGCTTATGGCTACAACTCAACTCCACAGTTTGTTCCTCTGGGCTCCTTTGTAGAAACTAGCAGTTTCTCCCCATCCTGCTCAGTTCACATGCATGATAGAGGGAGTCTAATTGGCCCTCTGATTCTTCCTGCCCAACCTTGCCAGAGATTTGTAGACTGGTTTATGGTCTGCAAGGCCCTCATAGATTTGTGGGAGTGACAGGCCCTGGATGGGCAGCAGGGAGGGGTTGAAGTTGGATTACCTCATGTATATAAAGTGCTACAACAGTGCCTGGCATACTATAGGACTCAGAAAACTCTGATTGAATGAAACTCAGAAATCTTCCTCTCCCACCATAGACCCTTCTCCCGACCCCTCCCCTTTCCCTCACCTTTGCAGAGGCCTCCAGCCTTGGATACCTCTTATTCCTGCAGATTTTCTTGGCCTCCCTTCCTTCCCTGGCCAGCCTGGACTTGGGGTAGGGTGATCCTCCTGCCCCAATCCTCTACAGCACCCTGCTCTTCAAAAAACTTTGCACTTAAATCTCCCAACCTCAGCTCTGCTCTCCCCATCAGCAGACTCCCTGCCAAGGTCTGTGTCACTGGGAAGGGAGTAGGAGAGCTTTATAAGTAGCTATCATTCACTGAGCACCTCTAAGTACCTGTCCCCATGCTCAGTGCTTTACCCATTTATGTTAAGAACTCTTTGCAATCTTCCCTTGAGATGGAGTTTTTCCAGATGAGAAAACTGAGATTGAGCATGGTGAAGTGATGTGAACCCAGCTCTAACTCCAAATCCTTCGCTCAAGAGCAAAGCTGTTGGTGTGAACTCTATCATCATTTCTCCTTTCCAAATGGAGTTTCCACAGGCCACACCAATATTTTCCCCTTTTTTTCTGGCTTTACAAAATGAATTAGCTAACAGCTGATTTTTATTACCACTAACAGATAATTTTTGTTAAGAACTTAACATGTGTTAGGTGCTGTTCTGAGCACTTTATCTGTATCAACTTATTCAATCTTTATAACAACTCTATAGGATAGACACTATCAGGATCGCTGTTTTGCAAATCTCTGCCTTAGCTTAAGGAAGGACCAAACTCACATGGTCCTGGTGGAGCCAGGATTCAAAGCCTCACTCCAGTTCAAGGCCTGGGAGCCCATTTTCTGCCTACTTCCTCTAGGAACTGCTTCCATCAATCCCTCCCTCACCTCTTTAAGCTACCTCTCTCCCCTGGCTCCTTAGCATTCAACGTGTTTATAACTTTCCCATCTCAAAAGTGTCCTCAAACCCATGTTACTCTGCAGTCACTATTCTTTCCTTCCTCTCTGTCATAGCCCAATTTCTTGAGTTTCTCTACTTGCTAGCTATTCTTCCTTACCCCTCTTCACACCAGCCTCCACTCCCCCGCCCCCTCTACCTAAACTGCCCTAAGCTTAGGAAGATTGTGCCGCCACATTTCCGAAGGAAAAAAATACTCCCTTCAATAGCCTAAAAATACTGTCAATCAAACTTGAAATCAGCTTTGTAAATTGTAAGACATGTCACAGCTCTAGTAGTTCTGAAACAAATTTTTTATCAAGATTAAAAGATGAGCAAAGATAAATACTGAATACTTTGGTATAACTCAATTGGTGATGACACCTCAGTTGAGCCTTCTCTATGCAGCTGGAGTTTTGCTTTTCTGCTCAAATGCCCTCTAATGTTATGCCAAGGTATCATTCAAGTATAAAGACAACAGCTAAAGTGTCCTTAAAGGCAACAGACCAATACCTGCACTGTTCTGTTTCGCTTCGTCCACACAGTTTTTATTCTTCTTCACCCATTTAACATTTCGGCCATGGTGGACTGTGAGTTCTTTATTGGTAACTAAAATTATTTGTAAACAGTATTAAAATAAATCTCCTTTTTACCTTCTTGGTGGTTTCTCAGTTGTCATACCCCCATCTCTCCTGTTTCCCTTCCTAATACTGGTACTTCCCTCACTTGGCTAAGGATTTCTGGGAGAGGTTGGATAGGAGTTACTAGTGTCCCAGTAACGCTGGTCAAAACTCTCCCCATGCCCAGAGCCCAGAGATAATTCAGGGCCACAAGTAGAGTATGTATAGGTCCCTCCAACTGTTCGTTAACACTGTGTCCATGAAGACTACCTTGCCAAGGTTTCCAGTGACTGCTGCGTGGAGCTCTTCTGCCCCACTGTTGCTTGCTGGTCTCTAAACCCAGGTCAAGTTTTTAGCTTTCACCTTACTGACTGCTGGGCAGCATCAGGGACAATTTACTCCTTGACCTTCCTGAAGCAATTTCATATTGTGTCACTCTACTTTCTCATCTTCCCTCTTAAGCTCATCCTCTAAGGTCTGGAATTCTCCAAGATCCCACCCTTTATCTTCCATTCACCATACACACTCCCTTTAATGACCTAAACCACTCACACACTGTGAGTACTCATTTGCCAGCAATTCCCAAATCTCTATTTCCAGACAGGTCCTGGCTCCACACCCAAATATTCAATTGCCCTCCTGTTCAGCTGGCCAAAACCAAACTCACCTGTTTCTCCCAAGCCTGCTCCTCCTTTTGTGCTCTCTCTCTCTCTCTGTCCACTCAGTCTTCCTGCCCAGAAGCTTGCACATCATTTTTAAACACTCTCTGTCTTTTGCTTTCCATTTCCAAAGATTCACAAAAATCAGATGGAGTCTGCCTTTGTCCATTTTGTGTTGCTATAAAGGAACATATAAGGCTGGATAAGTTATAAAGAAAAAAGGTTTATTTGGTTCCCAATTCTGGATGGCTGGAAAGCTCAGCATTCATCTTCTGCATCTGGTGAGGGCCTCAGGCTGTTTACACGCATGGGTGAAGGTGAAGGGGAGTTGGTGTGTATAGAGATCATATGGAGAGAGGGGAAGCTCTCAAGAGGGAGGGGGGAGGTGCCAAGCTCTTCTTAACAACCAGCTCTCATGAGAACCAATAGACTGAGAACTCACCCCTAAGGGAAGGCATTCATCTATTCATGAGGGGTCCACCCACGTGACCCAAATGCCCCCCATTAGGCTCTGCCTTCAATACTGGGGATCAAATTTCAACATAAGTTTTGGAGAGGACAAATATCCAAACCATGGTAGAGTCTATGCCCCTTTAGGCTCTCTAGAAACTGTACCTTCCTTTCTAGGAAGTAGAACACAGTAGAAAGACCTGGTTGGACAGGTATAGGCTTTAGGGTTAGACAGACCTGGGTTGAAATCCTGCCTCTATCACTTATCGGCTGTGTGATTGTATATTAAGGGCAACTCTCTTAATACATTCAAGTCTTAATTTCCTTATCTACAAAATGGGGATAATAATCTACTTTGACGAGTTATTGTGAGAATTAGAAACAATGATGTGCATACTTAAGACTGCCTGTCCCTAGCAACACTTAATGATAGTATTCATTATAATAATGATGATGATGATTTCTGGCTCCACTGTTATTGCTTTATCTAGGATATGGTCTTCCCTCTCCTGAACCATCACATCAGCTTCCTCACTGGGCTCTCTGTCTTCACTCACTGTTAACTGCCAAATCTGCTTTTCACATAGTAGTCAGAAAAATTTTTCTAAAGTGAATTTAGAAAAAAATTTTCTAAAGTGTCAAATCTGATCATGACACTCACCTGCTTAAAATGGTTTTCTCCCCCCATTCCATCTACCCTATGCCCCAGCCATACTTGCAGGTCTCTGAGCACACATTGGTCATGCACTCCCTTCTGCCATGCTTTATTCAAGGAGTTCCCTCTGCCTAAGCCCGAATGTATTCTGTCCCTCCCCTCCCTCACATCCTACCTGGCAAATTCTCATTCATCACACCCAGTGCCAATGAATGCCACCCCTCCTTGGGATGTCTGTTTGAGTCAACTGCTAGCTCCTTGAGGTCAGGGATCGGGTTTGATTCTTCTTTGTGGCCCCCTGCCATCCTGCACAGGGCTTGATATAAAGAAGGCCTCATCAAATATTTTCAGACACTTGCTCAAGGTTGCAAAAGGGGTCAGCAACAGGGTTGAGGCTTGAACCCAGGTCTCTCATCTTCCTGCCTAGGATTCTCCTCTACACATGCCATTTTGCCCCAGTGGAGAACAGGAGTGCAGGGTTAGTGGGTTGGGGGTGGGGGACCTCCTCATGTGAGGGCAGCAGGCAACCTGAGGACATCCCACGCTCCACCTCAGTGCTGCATCTGCTACACGGGGGAAGGATAAAATTATCCTCTGCCCACGTCATGTATCTCCCCATCTGACAGGGACTAGAGATAAAAAATGAATGACACAAAATCCAATCTTGCCTGGTACAGAAGCTGGCGGGGGTGGAGGTGGAGCTGGTGGCCCGAGCAGCCGCTCATTGCACAGCGCATCTCATATTTATTGGCTCATAATTGAAGGCAGCCTGGAGATGTCCCAGAATTGGCCCCTGACAAGACAGATGAGGGCACAATGACTGTGGAGGCAGAGAGTCAGGATACAGACTTTCTCACAGGACTGCAGCCACAGAAGGGAGGCGATGGTGGGGAGTGGGGACAGCTAGCTGGCTATTGCACTGGCCCCTGGGGTCTGACTCAGGTTCTAGGTCCTGCTCTGCTACCCACTTGTGATTACCTTGAACCAGACCCTCCCCTCTCTAGGCCAGTAATTTTAGCCTTCTTGATTTCATTATCAGGGTTTAGGAAAACCATTCTGGGAGTTGGGAAAATCTGGGCTGCTAACTTGCTGTGTGGCTTTAGGTGAGTTTCTTTACCTCTAAGGGCTTTGTGCTTTCTCTTTGTAAAGAGGAAAGGATGCCTCCCTCTTCTCCATAAAGACTGAAGGGGTTGGGTTGGCCTAGGAGCAGCCAGTTTGTGCATTTTAGCAACTGGAAACCTTCTGGTTGGGGGAAGACAAACAAGAAATGCTGCCAAATATTAAGAACCTTCAATGACTCCTAATTGGTCACAGAAATGGTCCAAATTCCCAGGCTTGGCATTCAAGGCTGGGAAACCTGCATAGTCCTACCTCTAGTATTTGTGTTATTATGGGAAAGTGTCTGGGGCTGGCAGCCAGGAAGCCTGGGTTCTGGACCAGTTTCACCACTATCTAGCTCTGTGATCTTTGGCAAGTTCTTGATCATCTCCAGGTCCCAGTTTCCCCATCTGTAAAATTTACATAGGTGATCTATGAAGTAATTAGGGTCCCCAAGCCCAGAGCAAGTCAAATGCCAAGTTCTATCCTTTCCTTTCTCCCTTTAAGTATTCCCTAAATCCATTCCTCCCTCGCCCCCATTCCGTTCTAATTATGACCACTGTCTCACCTCAGTACTCCTTTCTCTCTTCCTGACCAGTGCAGTAGCCTTTGGCCTCCCAGCCTCCATCCACCCCCTCCATACTCCAGTCAGAGTGACTCAGAAAGCATGTGCCTGACCATGCCCCTCGCCTGCATCAAGTCCTTCCTGTGCTCCCCACACAGCTCTCAGCCGAGCTCCTGAGTGTCACATGGAAGGTCCTGCATGATCTGGCTCTATCTTGTCTCTTCTCCCACTCCTCCTGTGCCCCAGCTATCTGTACCATTCAGCCTGGCCTCTTCACCACCCTCTCTCCAGCTCAGACTCCAGGATGAGGCTTCCCCAAGCTGGCCAGGAGGAGGCCCTGTGGCCCTGAACACAGCAGTAGGTGGGGTCAGTGTTGTGCCTAAACTCCTGTTCTGCCTTTCCAGAAGCTTCTGGAGTTCCACGCCCCATAGGGGTCCTGCTCCATGGAGTCCCCAGAGCATCAGGTGTGAATGCTGCCTGTTCTCCCTCCTTCTGCTGACAACCAGAGAATGTCTGAGCCAAAGGGGCCCCAGAGGTGACCTTGACCTCCTAAAACCCCACATTGTATAGGTGGAGAAACTGAGGACCAGGGAGAAGCAGTGGTCACACAGCAAGTCAGTGTACAGCAGGGCTGGAGCTCTGCCTTGTGCCTGCTCCATGGGGTGGGGGACACAGGGCTGGAGTAGGGTAGCCATAGAGAGAACACTCCACGTGCTGGGACAGAAGGGGCCATCAGCCCTCCCTTCAGTGGTGGAGGTGAGATACTCAGCAGGAGACTCAGGGCAGGGAAAGAGGTTTCTGCCAGTCTCATTCCCATCCTCACCTCGCCCCCTGCTGGTTCTGTCCCATTAGGGCTTCCAGGTCTCTGTACTTTACCTCCTGGCCACATGTCCAGCCTTCCTGAGGTGGGATAGGGAAAGTGGGGAATCAAGGTAGCCAGGGCAAGCATTTGTGAGCATTTACAGTCAGAGCTGTGAGGACCTCTACAACATCCTGCCAAGTACCTATCTAGCATGTTCCGGGCACGCCAGTGACAGGGACTCACTGTCTCCTAGAACAGCACCACTCTTTGGGAGACATTTGGCCCAGGTGAAAGAGACTTCTCAGGAGAGGCTAGGGTTATCTGCAGGGTGTGCTTCTGGGCCCAGCATCAGGTGATGCAGAAAATGAGAGAGAGACAGCCCACCTCCAGGATGGCATTTCTCCAGGCCTAATCAATTATCAGATGTTGTGGTTTCTGGCCCCTTCCCAGGGCACAGGGTCCCTTATCAGAGCTTTTAGTCCACTGAATCCAATCCTCAGAGATTGCAGAAGGGAAGACTGAGACCCAGGGTAGGGGTAGGATTTGCCTAGTTCCCCCAGCATCTTAGGGCTGGGCCTGAGACCAGAAACCAAGGCCCCAGGTCTTAGCTGGGAGCCCTCCCGGCACTATGTTCCCACTCTATGGCATGGAGTGTGGGGCATGGGGGACTTGCAAAGAGACAGAGAGGAGTCAGTGCTGAGAAGGGCTTGTGATAGATGAATAGAAGCTTTCCCTGCAGGAGCTCAGAGTCCAGGGAGAGGGCCACAGGCAAGGGAAGGCTTCCTTGTCCCTCCCTAGAGGATAGTGC